AGGTGCCCAGCTCAGATCATGTGGGTGTATACGCTCAGCTCTGCCTTACCAGGAAAAGGCTTCTACCTCAAAGGGACAGTGTCCTTTTTTTTCCATGGGAAATTCCATTATACAGGGCCTGAAAAAGTGGCTCAGCAGTGCTTACAACTCTTGCAGTGAACCCAGGATCACTTCCCAGCACCCACCATTGTGTAACTCACAACCTCCTACAACTCTGGTTCCAAGGACACTGCACACATTTGGCACACAGAAACTCAAGGGGGAGCACACACATAAATCTTTTGTTTGTTTGTTTTGGTTTTTCGAGACTCAAGACAAGGTTTCTCTGTAACATTGGAGCCTGTCCTAGAACTAGCTCTTATAAACCAGGCTGGCATCGAACTCACAGAGACTCACCAGCCTCCACCTCCTGAGTGCTTGGATTAAAGGTGTGAGCCACCAACGCCCGGCTGAACAAATAAATCTTTTAAAAAATAAAAATAAGAGTCTCTACTTCAGTCAGGCACCGTGGCTCACACTCTTTGGAAGCTAAGACAAGAGATTTACTAAGAGTCGGAGGCCAGCCTGAGGCTACATAGACTCTCTAAAAAATACCAGTAACAATAAAAAACTATTACCAGCTGGGTGGCTGTAGTACATGCCTTCAATCCCAGTACTGGGGAGGCAGAGGCAGGCAGATCTCTGTGAGTTGGAGGCCGATTTGGCCTACAGAGTGAGTTCAGGGACAGCTAGGGCTACACAGAGAAACCCTGTTTCAAAAATAACAATAAATAAAAACACTTTTTTATTATCTTTAACTACTGGCAACTGTGTGCCAGGGGGCTAGTATTAGTTCAATAGTTCAACAATTTTCTTTTTTTCTTTCTTTCTTTCTTTCTTTCTTTCTTTCTTTCTTTCTTTTTTTTTTTTTTTTGATTTTTCGAGACAGGGTTTCTCTGTGGCTTCAGAGTCTGTCCTGGAACTAGCTCTAGTAGGCCAGGCTGGCTTTGAACTCGCAGAGACCCGCCTGTCTCTGCCTCCCAAGTGCTGGGCTTAAAAGCATGCGCCACCACCGCCCAGCTAGTTCAACAATTTTCAAGCAATCTCAGACTCTTATAAGTCTGAGAATACACAGGCAAAGAGCCCTTAGGGAGATAGATATCTTTAGACCAGAAGTGGATTGAACAGTGTTGAGAAGGAAGCCCCCTCCAAGGCTTTAGAGATGCCAGAGGAAAACATTTCTAAACCTACTAACTTAACAAATGATTGAAACAAAACTGTGTCGGGTCTTATTCTACTGCTGTCATATAAACAGCCTGGTAAGAGCAACGGAAGGAAGGTTTGTTTTGGTTCACAGTTCAGAATACAGTCAGTCCATCTTGGCAGCCGGAGCTCAGAACAGCTGTTTTCTCGTAATCCACAGTCAAGAACCAGAGAGCAATGAATCTGGGGCTCAATTAGCAACTTTTTATGCAGCCCAGGCCCCAAGTCAAAGGTTTTATTATCTTTTGTCTTGAGCTAATCAACATAATTCCTTCCAGACAGGATCAAAAGTTAAATAATCCCTCACAGGTGTGCCTTGCCTGTGTAGGTGAGTCCTGTCAAGTTAAAGACACCAACCATCACATGGAAGGACTATGCCTGCTCTGCCATCTTTTGAGTATACAACTGCTTCTAGTGGCTTGAAGAGATAGCTCAGCAGTTAGGAGCACTAGCTAGGCCAGCTGTGGTGACACACCTTTAACCTCAGCACTGACATAAGTAGATATCTGTGAGCCTGAGGCTATTCGGGTGTACAAAGCAAGCTCCAAGCCAGCCAGAGCTACACAGTGAGACTCAACAAAAAGAAGAAGAAGAAGAAGAAGAAGAAGAAGAAGAAGAAGAAGAAGAA